AATATATTCTCCCATACTGCAAATACAGTATTCTTAATAAAAGGAATATATATTTTTAAAAAACCCAAACCTGAAACCCCAATAAGGAATAGCCAAAGAACAATTACCAGAAAAAATATATATTACTAATAAACACAAACACATGTTCAACATCACCAACAATCAAAGAAATGTTACTTAAAATTATACCATTTTTTCACCTATCAGGAAGATTTTTTTTAGAAAAGATAAATCTCAGTTTGGGCAAAGGAGTGGCAAAACCACCACCTTTCTGCCAATCACTTGGCTGCACTTATCAAAAGCCTTTCATTCTTTCATTTCACAAATATCTGACTGTCCATTAGGTACTCAGTGCATGATGGCCCTAGCCCTCACTAAGGTGACCTTCTTGAGGGGAAGAGAGACTTCAAATAGTTAATTACTTACACAATGCACCACATGATTATAACTGTACTAAATGTCAGAAGAAATAAAAGGTGCTCTGAAATAATGTAATAGTTGCATCACATTTGGGGGTGGAGGAAGGAGATGTGGTCAGGAAAGACTTCCATGTGAAAATGAGGTGTGAGCTAACATCTGAAGGAAGAAAAGGGATTAAGTAGGTAAAGCTGGGATAGGAGATGGGAAAAGAGATGAATGGCTAGACTGAATAAGCAAAGGCCCTGAAGTAAGAAGCAATTCTGTATATACAAAAACTGAAAAAAATTCTGTTTGGCCTGACCTCAGGAAGAGAGAGAAGCTGACAAGGCAAACAGAGCTTTCCATACCACAGCAAACATCTTGATCTTCAGCTTAAGGGTAATGGGAGGCCACTTGAAGATTTAAGCAGAAACAACATGAGATTTATTTTTTTTAAACTGTCTCTGCTTCAGTATGAAGAATGGCCTAGGTAGGAAGGGCAGAGGGTACAAAGGGACTAGGGACAAGACTACTGCAATTATAGAGGTGACAGAGAGCAGGGTGACCTTGACTAGAGGATGGCCAAGGAGAAAGAGAGAAGCAGGTGGACTACAAATATTTAAGATGTAAGTCATATCACCAGACACCACTTACAGAGGCAATCAGAATGACTCAGGGGTTTCTGGGTAAGAAGCTTCATGGATAATGCTGCTAATGATAATGTTTATACCCAGTGACCCAGTCATTCTCCAGAAGTCTGTCCCAGGGAAATAATCAGAAACTTGGACAAGGTTTGTTTTCAAAGATGTTCACTGCAGCTTTATTTAAAACTTCTGAGCAATCTAAATAATCAAGAGAATTTAAAAAATTAATTATGATAATACCATACTGTGGGTAAAATTGCAGTATTTCCAGAATCTCTCTCCTAGTCTTAGTCCATCTCCATATCAATAGGTATTTAAAAGGGGTAGAGAGAAGCTGTTCTCTCCTTAGTTTACTTCCATATCAATAGGTGTCTACAAGAGGGGAGAAGTGAGCACCCCCTGCCACTGGAAGAAATGGGTGATTGAGAGCAGTAGCCAGAGAGAAAGGTGAATGGAGCCAGGCATCCTGTGAGCAAATAAATGGGGTTCTCCCACTTTATTCTTCCCATTGACTGATTTCGGCTTTACCAGTTACACTCGTTTATTTGTCCTGAGCTGGGAACATGCTTCCCCCCAGAGGTACACATACAATGGAATACAAGGTACCCATTTAAAAGCTGCATTTAATGTCAAGAGAAGCTGCTCAGAATATGTTAAATAAAAAAATTCAGGTTGTCATAAAAATAAATCTTGCCATTTGCAACAACATGGATGTACCTAGAAGGTAATATGTAATATGGTCAGTGAAATAAGTCAGGTGGAGAAAGACAAATACCATACAATTTCACTTATTTGTGGAATATAAAAACAAAGCAAAACAGAAGGAACAAAACAGCAACAGACTCACAGAGGCTGAGAAATGACTAGAGGTTACCAAGGGGGAGGGGTTAGGGTGGGTTGACGGGGAGAAGAAAGGGATAAAGAGGCACAGTAATTCGCAATCACAATGTAAGTTGGCCAGAGGGACAGTAGTACAGCATGGAGAATATAGCCTATGATTTTGTAACATCTTTCTATGGTGATAGATAGTAACTACACTACAGGGGGTGAGTATTTAACAATACGGGTAACTGTTGAACCACTGTGTTCTATATTTGAAACCAACATAAGATTGTATATCAATGATACTTCAATTAAAAAAAAAAAGCAGGCTGTGAAAAATTAATACTTTATTTTTAAAATATAAAAAGGTCTACAAGGACATATATTAAAGTGTAATAGTGGTTATCTCTTGGTAATAGGACCAAGTGTTTGTATTTCTTTGGACATTCCCATTTTTAGAATGTTCTCTACAATGAGAAAGTCGTATTTTTATTTTTTAATTATTTCTATTTTAAAATAACACTTAAGCATTTACTATGTGCTAGGTGCTGTTCTAAATGTTTTATGCATGTGAGCACATTAAATCTTGAAGACATTTCTAAGATACAGAAAAGTTAAGTGACTTGGCCAACCTCACACAATAAGACAAAATCTGAACCCGTGCAAGCTGACCTGAGTTGTCACTCTGTGGACACTGCTTCCCTACACTACTTTGAAAAGAACAAATTATTAAGACTGCCCGCAGAATAGGAGAAAATATTTGGAAGTCATGTATCTGATACAAGTCTAGCATTTAGAATATATAGTCCTCTTCCACAAGTCAACAACAAAAAGACAAAACAACAATAAGCCCCAAAACAAAAAACACCTCAATTAGAAAATGGGAAAAGGATCTGAACGGACATTTCTCCAAAGGAGATATACAAATGGTCAATAAACAGGTGAAAAGATGCTTAGCATCATTAGTTATTAGGGAAACGCATCAAAACCATATACACATACCCGAGGATGGCTAGAGTAAATAAGTGTTGGTGAGGATGTAGAGCTAGAGAAGCTGGAGCCCTTGTACACTGGAGTGGAATGTGAAATTGTTCTGGAAAACAGTTTGGCAGTTCCTCAAAAGGTTAAACAGAGTTACGTAAGACTTGCCAATTCCTCTTGTAGGTATAAACCAAGAGAAAGGAAGACATATGTCCACACAAAATCTTGTACATGTGTGTTTATAGTAGCATTATTCATAATAGCCCAAAATTGGAAACCAACCCAAATGGTGGTCAACAAATAAATGGATAAACAAAATGTGGTACATCCATAGGATGGAATATAATTCAACAACAAAAAGAAATGAAGTACAGATACATGGATACATGCTATAACATGGATGGATCTTAACAACGTGCTACGTGAAAGAAGCTAAACACAAAAGGCCACACAATGTAGCACTCCATTTACATGATATATTCAGAATGAACAAATCCATAAAACAGCAAGTAGACTGGTGGTTGCCAGGGGCTAGGAGTAAGGTAGAATACAGAGTGACTGCTTAAGGGTTACTGGGCTTCCTTGTGGGTGACGAAAAGAGACAGTGGTGATGGTTGTGCAACATTGTGAATATGCTAAAACCACTAAACTGTATTCTTTAAAATGGTGAATTTTATGTTATGTGAATTTTATCTGAATTTTTAAAAGGAACAAATTATTTTTAGTAAAAACTCACAGCAATTGCTCATATAAGCAGAGACTGCCTGCTTTTTCTTTTATGCTTAAGTATTAACTTGAAAATGTCAAATTACTGTGCCTCATCTATAAAAACATATAATAATAGTACCATTCTAAGAGGATTGAAGAAGATTAAGAGAGTATGTATAAAGCACTCAGAGTAGTACCTGACATGATAGCTCTCAAGAACTATTAGCTATTAACAGCAGTAGTGTATGTGGGAACTAGCCAGAATGTGAAACAAAATTACAAGTCCTGTTTCTCTCCAAATTACTAATAGACACTTCAGTGAATGGAAGATTTATTTGACTAAAATCAAGAAGGAAAAAGCATAAGTTGGCTTTACATGTGGCTGCTGCTAGTCTAGCATTTAGTTGCAAAATACAATAAACACTTTGGTCTGTGATTAGAATGAGATGCCAAAGAGTTTCAGGACTATTAATCCTGCTCCAGCTGTCATGGGAGTACAAGGAGGTTCTAAGACACCAGAAACCAAAGAATTCTATGAGATATTCTAGGATGCAACATGAGAGAAAAAGGCTTGGAGAAGCTGGAAGGGAAGCTCAGTAATTTTCTAGTTCCTTCTGAGTTATTAATAGATAGTCACAGAAGTCACAGAGCCACTTTAGAGCAGTGCTGAATATACTGTCAATTTCTAGACTACCCATATTTAAACAGAAGTTAAACACATATCCTGAACCCAGAATACACATATTCTTAAGTCATGAATTCCTTTAGATTAGAAACAGCACTATTTATTTTCTTTAAATTAACTATGTTTAAAGTTAAGAGTAATTGCTTCATCTGACTAGAAGGCAAAAAATCAAAATGTTATAAGTCTTCAAGGAAGAAGAGGGAGCCAGCAAAATCTAATTGCTTCAAAGGATGAAAAAAACCCAACCTTATATGTTTCCCATTTATGCAGTGCAACAGAGGTCAGGAAGCAGATAAAGCAGAGAGAGAGAATTACAACCAATTCGAGCCACTATAAATAGCAACTGCAGCCTCCAATAAAAGGACATGTTCTATATGAGTCAGAAGTGGAAGAGACTATTAGATTAGTATTAGTCTTTTCAGTCACACACAACATAAATATAGCACATGCTAATAACAGCATGTGCTATTATTAAGCCTACTAATAATAACTGCACATGCTATTATTATTAAATGCTTACCACGTTCAATAAACCACGATACGTGACCAAATACATTTTACATGGGGTTGTAAACTACAGATTGTTTAGTTGAAAAAAAAAATCTTAACAAACCGTCCTTCCGAAACATCCAATAAAATTTCCCTATCCACAAAATGGTTAAAAACAGATTAGAAGTAAAGGATTCTCTAGAGATAAAGAAACCACTGCTCAGGATGTGGGAATGCTTTGAAGAGACATTAGTATTATGACGTAGTCCTACCTGTACCTCTGCTTTTCATTCCCATCCTGAATCGTATCTTCTTGCCACAAAGGACCTCTGAAAGGTGTTTAGCGGTCCAGTGTTGTGCTGGCCAATCAGAAACCATGTTACAGAAGACTGCTGGTAGTTGTAAAGACATTATAATTTCTTTTGCTTTCTCTGGAGTAAAAGGTTTGACACGTTTACCTAGGAAAAGAAAGAAACTGTAGTAATAGAAAGTCATTTCATATTAACAAGGAGAAAAAATAGCCAGTGCCATTCTACTATGGCAAATATCTTTCTGTGTAATTACACTTCATTTACACTTCACTTATTATTGTTTATATAGTTTATATAAATATTTGGCCTCCATAAACCACAATTCTTATGAGTTTTCTAATTAAATTTTAAATGTTTAAAAACATTTACAATTTTCAATGTCAAAATGTTTTAAAAGGAGGCTTTTAAACTATTCCTTTAGATTTTAAAAGATGCAGTTCTTTGAAAATTATTTCCTAAATAGAGAATTATGTAAGAAATGCTGATGGGAATACTACTCAAGAGCAACAAGAACAGCTGGAATCACCAATAATTCTACTTTCAATATTACATGTTTATGCCAAGAACAGTACTGAACTAATACAGCAGTCAATAGGATGGCGAGCTAGTTGTTGCAAGATTAAAAAAAAAAAAAAAGAAAAAATGTGCTAGGATAATGGTTATTAGTGTTAATCCTTGACTTTCACTGCATCCATAAACAGTACAGGGGACTAGGTAAAAACTAATACTGTGACTTACTGAGTACTTCAATGCATTTCACAGAATCACAGAATGTTAATTCTGGATAGGACAGTAAAGATTAGTATTTGTTAAATAAAGAACAGGTAAGTTTCCCTTTAGACACATCTTAAGATTAAAGTTTTTTGGGAAAGTTGGAAAATGCTTCATACCCTGACTGCAACAACATATATTTACAATTCTCCCAAACAATCAGCTAAATTCCCTAAATTTTTTTAACTACTCCATAATTACATATAGTTCAAAAAAAATTAAGAAAAGCTCATAAATTATCTAAATTCTCCCATCACCCAACTATCTTCTAAACTTTCTGATGAAGGGAAGAGGGATGGGATAAGACTCGTTGATGAATTTGAGTAATCTGTACTTGTTTGAATTTGTACTTGTACTGTAAGGGTGGTTTTTAAAGAAAATGAAAATTTAAGTCAATTTGGCCTCCTTTCCTTAAATGAGGGCAAACACTTAGAGTCCTTTCCTAACTCTTGATGAAAATGAGCAAACTGTCAGCCCTCAGCAGTTGACACTAGAGAACCACCTGCCATCTACACAGTCCAGGCTCCCAGTGAGGAAGGAGACCAGTGTGGGAGATAGAAGGAGCAGACAGGAAGAAGAGCTGGGGACTGCACGGAGTGAGCAAAAGAGAAGGCACCCAAGGCCCAATATAAAAGGTCCCCAGTTTACTTTAAGTGACCTTGAAGTGCTGAAGAGCCCTGGATGTGACCAGGACTAAAATTTTCTGTCTTTTCTTGAGATTCATTTTTTTCTACTTTTGACAAGTATGATAAATTCACATTAAAGGTCTTACCCCAATTATACTTAACAGCGAGAAGCTGGAAGCTTTCCCTTTAAGATCAGGAACAAGACAAGGATGCCCACTCTCCCTGCTTTTATTCAACATAGTACTGGAGGTCCTAGCCACTGCAATCAGACAACACAAAGAAATAAAAGGCATCCAGATTGGCAAGGAAGAAGTTAAACTGTCCCTGTTTGCAGATGATATGATATTGTACATAAAAAACACTAAAAAATCCACTCCAAACTACTAGATCTAATATATGAATTCAGCAAAGTTGCGGGATACAAAACTAATACACAGAAATCTGTTGCATTCCTATACACTAACGATTAACTAGCAGAAAGAGAAATCAGGAAAACAAGTCCATTCACAATTTCATCAAAAAGAATAAAATACCTAGGAATAAACCTAACCAAGCAAGTGAAAGACCTATACTCTGAAAACTGCAAGACAGTC